AAATGGCAACAACCACCATTCCAGACCAGAGGTCAATGAAATCCACAGCTCCTAATTGCTAAAAGCTGGGAACTCACACCCATGTCACCTCTTTCCACAAATCACTTACACAATTTAATGACTCATTTATGAGACAAACAAGAGAGTTAAGGTGACGTTTGTGTGCACGCACCTGTTCAGGATTGTATTTGGAGAGCACACCTTCGCCATGGAATTCCTCCAGAACATCCTTTAACTTTTTTGTGGAGTCTGGAGAGAAAAGAGGAGGAAAATAACCTTGTAACTCAAGGCACGACAAGCAGGCTCCATCAGACAACATACTGGTATATTTATTCGTAACGTGCCAGATAGCTTTCATAGAACAGAGAACCATATATTGTAACTTAAAGGAGACAAAACGACAAGGGCTCCCGTGTTTAGGGCAATTTTTCATCAAAATACCCTAAGGATCAAGAATTATGCTATTACAGTTTTTGAACACAGCATATTTCTTGCCATGTTGTAAATGATTCATTTATGGGGCTGATCTGTCTCATCCAGTGTGCCAGGCCTCATCCTGCCCCATATTCTTCATCTGTTTCGTGAGAATGACAACCAGTTGGCTGGATTCTGCCAGTGAGTTCCTGCCAGCATTTGGCTCTCTCCTCTTCAGCTTTGCTTGGAGGCCTGCTACTTGCTTCTACTAGCAAAACCAGAGCCCAGAGTGTTGAAAACAAGTAGATGCCTTTAAATTAAATTAATGAAGGCTTAATTAATTTTACATGTTTGATTTGTAGTAATTCGTTTATCTTGTAAAACTGCATAACAGCTGAAAAATACATATATGTATTAATATACATTTCTCTTCTGTGGCAACATTTTTAACACAGAGTACGTCCATGCTGGGTCTAATGAGATGTGATGTGTATATACTCACTGCCGGACAACAGAAACACATTTGACAAAAAAAGGGAAATAATGCCATAGCATGAAAAATATTTGTAAGGGGGTAACCAGAAACCACAAACAAGGTGCACGCTGGCACCTATATGTATTAATATACATTTCTCTTCTGTGGCAACATTTTTAACACAGAGTACGTCCATGCTGGGTCTAATGAGATGTGATGTGTATATACTCACTGCCGGACAACAGAAACACATTTGACAAAAAAAGGGAAATAATGCCATAGCATGAAAAATATTTGTAAGGGGGTAACCAGAAACCACAAACAAGGTGCACGCTGGCACCTCATTCCACAATTTTTACAAAGTGTGTACTTGCGCACGTTTTGTTGAGCCCCCGGTGTGCACAAGGACAAGCAAGTGTGCAGTGGACCTTTCATGGACAACGGGCTCAGTTAGAAGCAGCTGTAGCTCAATCCAAACTGTGTCAAAGCTTTCAGGACCTGGATTTACCATCTCTAACGAGAAGTTGTTAACAGTTTGAGAGACACACCACACAGATGGACATTAAAAACCAATGCTGTGCTGAGGATTTTTAACAAGCCAGAGGTCGGAAATGAGCTAACCTGCCCAAGGGAGGATCTGTCCTACCTTTCGAACCTTCGACAGTTAGTTATTATATTAAATTCCTTTGTAAAATTAACGCAAGAAAAATCAAGTATTCTAATCGTATACAATGTAATTTAAAAAGTACAGATTTATTTATCATGTTGAATAAATAGGCCACTTGTGAGATCCTAAACACTAATGTATAATAAAATCCATAAGATATCAAAAATCAGTGTGACAATTTGTCAGGAGCGAGGTACTGTCACACTTTGTGGCACAATATGGGATTGCTAATTTATCACTCTTTTGTGCCTTATTTCCTATCTTCTGTGAAATAAAGATGTTATTCAAAACATTTTTCGAACCCTTTTCTTCACACTATAAATAGCCATGTTGTAAAAGGAGCATAGCGTGATATGATTCGACTACAGAGTGAGATGTATTACACTAGAAAACATCCATTGACGCTTAGTTACACTTTCTCTTTGCTTGTCTCTTTTGTGTGACCTTGCTGTATGCATTTCCTTTTCATAAATCTAATTTATTGATGTTTTCAAGTCCCATTAAAGCATAAAGAATAAGCACGGTGGATGACTGGTTGTCACATCCACCTCACGGTTCAGGGGTTGTGTGTCCATGTGAATTTTGAACAGTGGTGAACCGTCAGGCTAAGAAAAGACCTTGCCTAAACATTATCAGGAACACTGACTGAGCTGTATGACAGAAATCTGAATATTTGTTCCATAAAACTGAAATTACTTTACTCCTAACAGATGCACTGCTTCCAGTCCATAGATGTGAACGTTAGATTTTTTTTTTATATTTTTGTCTAATGCCTATAGCAGCGGTGCCCAATCAGTCGATTGCAGTTGACCTGTAGTCTGCTGCGAGGGATGTAGGGGGGAAAAAAAAAAAACTGTCTGTGTGTGTTCTTAATATTTATGTTTTTGTGTTCATGTAGACTGCACCAGAAGCACCTGTATAATTTTGATCTTCACACAAAAAAAAAAAAAAAAATAGAATACGGCATTGTCAAAAAAGGGAATCTGGAGCACCAGGAGAAGCATTTTAAAATGGTACACGCGAGTGACGCTAGTGATATTTCTGCACTTAACATGCTGGAAAAATGCATCGCTGCCTCCGTGTCAGGTCCCCCACGAAGGTAGGCAGTGATTTCCTTTTCACAAACTCAGTCTTGTTTTGTATCTAGTTTATTTTTCGGTTATGATCATGTTAGGGTCTGATTTGGCTGTTGCTCATAATGGTATGCACGTGCGTTAACGGTTCAGTAATGGGATGGTTGCTTGAAAAATCGATCTTCAGTCAGAAAAGCTTGGGGACCCCTGACCTAAGGCTTCTGAATCAGTAGTAATGCAATTAGCAATGCAACTGATTCTTGAGCCAATCAGTTTTCAAATTCGCCTCATCAGGTCAGCTAACTGGCCCACAATTACATCAGCATTTTTGGGTCCACTGATTGGTTGGTCAGAGTAAATCCATTTCGAGTAGTAAAACGTACACTGCAAGTTACACTTATAGTAATACATTAGACAATCATTATTCCAAATGAGTGTGATTCATCCTCCGTCCTTTTATGATGTTTGGTCACGTTAATAGATAAATATTCCTGATGGAGTCCTTCAGGTTAGGTGGTTTAAGTTGGGTAATTCATCACCCAGGTGATAAATATACCATCTGCCGCTGATGCAGACAGATCAATCTTTTGTAAGATGACTGCAGTGTCTCACTAATCAGACATCTATGCTCAGTAAGCTTAGACAGTGACTCTCTCAGGGAATGATGAATGGATACTGATAACAGGTAATAAACCTCCATGTTTTCCGGACAAGGACAAGAAGAGGAGTGCAGGCACATTCTCGTTTGACTAACAAATCGGCCACAAGGCCAGCAGGTGAAAGTACACTGTTCAGTTTAGTGCATGAAACAACAACAAAAAAAGATAAATAAAGATACATTTTGCCTGTTACATGAAAAAAAAACACACACGAAATGTCATATTAGATTTTAAATTTTAAGAACACAACTTTAAGTGCAATACAAGGCAGGATAACTTGTTTTACACATGGACCGTGAATGAAAAAGACCTGCAATTTTCTTCCTTTCTCAACAAAGAGAGTGAATTACAAACTATATGTCCACCAGTGGCGATTGCTCTCGGACTGCAAGGGAAGCTCGGCTTCCCCTAAAATGTCAAAGAATAAGTGATCAAATATATGACTGAAAACTTCATTGTGTGTACATGTCATTGACTAAATATGCGCTACAACATGCTCAACTTTTGTTCCGAATCAGCTTCTTCTTACTGGTTACGACGCGACTCCCTTCTCATTCATTCCCGCAGCTTCGCTGTGCTTTAAACGGTGGACGCCCGAGCGTCCGCAGAGCTTCCATTGCCCGGACGCCGGGTGTCTAGAGAGTTCAGGGTAGGTTTTCCCAATGCGTTGAACGGAGACGAGTCATTGGATACAAACTGGTTTTTGTCCCGCCCACGGACGCCCGGCGTCTCTGGGAGTCTATGGACAGTGGGCGTGTATCGGCGTGAGCTTTCTGCATGAGGATTGGATGATCTGTCTGAGGCGGAATCTCGTTATGATTGACAGTAAAATGAGCCAATCAGCGATCGTTTGGTGTAGGCATCCGTGGGAGAATTTTTCAATTCTCATTCTGTTCTGAGTTGAACTGGAGACTTCTAGTAATCTCGAATGGCAACACTCTCTTTGTTGAAAACGACTAGTGACAGATGAATCTTTTATTTCTGGTGTGTTTTATTGTAGTTGCTTGTGTTCTCAAACTGACTTATATCACCACAGTTAAGAACCTGGAAAAGACGCCTTGTTGGTATGCCAGGGTCGCAGATCATTTTCTTGAAAAAGAACAGAGTAGAATTCACGTAGAAATAAACAGACACATTTTATGATGTAGCCCGAAATTGAGCTTTCCCTTCTTGACAGACCAGCATCCGCCACTGATGTCCACATCATTGAAAACGAAGAAAAGATAGAAAGCAAAGCACCAGCCCTCGAACTACTTGCTGTTGCCACCTGGGCGCTCGTCGCTAGCACCTAGCGGCTAGCTGTTTGGTACGAACGGTGGAGACTTGTGCCACATTATTTCTATAAATCTCGGTCCACTGTTTACAATTTCAAATGACAATCACAATGCCCTATTACCGGTGAGCTATTTTTAGATTAGCCCCTCAGGCTACTGATGTGGTCCTTGGGGGCACCACGTTGGTGAGCCCTGCTCTGGAACCCTCCCTGCTATTGGCGCTCATATATTTAAGTGACCTTATATAGCCACATTAAAAAGCATTAAAATGGCAACAACCACCATTCCAGACCAGAGGTCAATGAAATCCACAGCTCCTAATTGCTAAAAGCTGGGAACTCACACCCATGTCACCTCTTTCCACAAATCACTTACACAATTTAATGACTCATTTATGAGACAAACAAGAGAGTTAAGGTGACGTTTGTGTGCACGCACCTGTTCAGGATTGTATTTGGAGAGCACACCTTCGCCATGGAATTCCTCCAGAACATCCTTTAACTTTTTTGTGGAGTCTGGAGAGAAAAGAGGAGGAAAATAACCTTGTAACTCAAGGCACGACAAGCAGGCTCCATCAGACAACATACTGGTATATTTATTCGTAACGTGCCAGATAGCTTTCATAGAACAGAGAACCATATATTGTAACTTAAAGGAGACAAAACGACAAGGGCTCCCGTGTTTAGGGCAAATTTTCATCAAAATACCCTAAGGATCAAGAATTATGCTATTACAGTTTTTGAACACAGCATATTTCTTGCCATGTTGTAAATGATTCATTTATGGGGCTGATCTGTCTCATCCAGTGTGCCAGGCCTCATCCTGCCCCATATTCTTCATCTGTTTCGTGAGAATGACAACCAGTTGGCTGGATTCTGCCAGTGAGTTCCTGCCAGCATTTGGCTCTCTCTTCTTCAGCTTTGCTTGGAGGCCTGCTACTTGCTTCTACTAGCAAAACCAGAGCCCAGAGTGTTGAAAACAAGTAGATGCCTTTAAATTAAATTAATGAAGGCTTAATTAATTTTACATGTTTGATTTGTAGTAATTCGTTTATCTTGTAAAACTGCATAACAGCTGAAAAATACATACAAATATGTATTAATATACATTTCTCTTCTGTGGCAACATTTTTAACACAGAGTACGTCCATGCTGGGTCTAATGAGATGTGATGTGTATATACTCACTGCCGGACAACAGAAACACATTTGACAAAAAAAGGGAAATAATGCCATAGCATGAAAAATATTTGTAAGGGGGTAACCAGAAACCACAAACAAGGTGCACAAGGGGCGTCCGTCAATAACGGACTGACTGACCTTCCTTCAGTACCGATGGAATGGCCACCTCATCAAACTTTAATGTGCAGAAACAGAACATGGAGTGTGAGAAAAAAAAAAGTGAGTGCCCCTAAAAACAATGAAATCAAGTACAGACAGCAGTTCACACACTATGCTATGCGAATGCAGCTCATGGACACATTGCTAAATTTAAACATTACCCCACACATTGAGCATCAAAGTACTGAATGTGCTGCTTATCAGAATCATAGCTGTTAGATAATGCTAATCGCTGTATTCAATACAATTCTGCTCACTTTGCATGAAGCCACCTCGAGCTTATACACTGTTTGAGAAATGAGCAAATAACTGGAGTTACTTGAATGTTTACTTTCACACTTGATGGGTGGGTATGCATTCAGAAGCCCAACTTGTCAGGTTCAGAACCGAACGTAATGTTTTGTACAACTGTGTGTGTGTGTTAATAATATATATTTCTGTGCTCGTCCGTGTATGTATGCTTGCACATGAGGTAACGGGTTGATTGTTGGAGGGACTGGTTGCTTGAAAAATCGATCTTCAGTCAGAAAAGCTTGGGGACCCCTGACCTAAGGCTTCTGAATCAGTAGTAATGCAATTAGCAATGCAACTGATTCTTGAGCCAATCAGTTTTCAAATTCGCCTCATCGGGTCAGCTAACTGGCCCACAATTACATCAGTATTTTTGGGTCCACTGATTGGTTGGTCAGAATAAATCCAGTTCGAGTAGTAAAACATACGCTGTGAGTTACACTTACGGTATTAATACATTAGACAATCATAATTTTAAATGAGTGTGATTCATCCTCACGTCCTTTTATGATGTTTGGTCACGTTAATAGATAAATATTCCTGATGGAGTCCTTCAGGTTAGGTGGATTAAGTTGGGTAATTCATCACCCAGGTGATAAATATACCATCTGCCGCTGATGCAGACAGATCAATCTTTTGTAAGATGACTGCAGTGTCTCACTAATCAGACATCTATGCTCAGTAAGGTTAGACAGTGACTCTCTCAGGGAATGATGAATGGATATTGATAACAGGTAAATAAACCTCCATGTTTTCCGGACAAGGACAAGAAGAGGAGTGCAGGCACATTCTCGTTTGACTAACAAATAGGCCACAAGGCCAGCAGGTGAAAGTACACTGTTCAATTTAGTGCATGTGTATGTTTATGTAAATCTGTTTTGTTTTGTTTTTTGATCTGCTTATCCTCTTAAGAATCGTGGGCGTGCTGGAGTCTATCCCAGCTGGCTTCGGGCAGTAGACGGGGGACACCCTGAACTGATTGCCAGCCAATCGCTGGCGCACACATAACGTGTTACTTGGACCTCATGATGCTGTTTGCTCGCAAATATAGTTTCAACAGAACCTCTGACACCATCACACAGCAGGTGCGTTCATACTGAGACTAGATTACACACAAGTGGACTCTTATCATCATCATCAATGCTGTATGACAGAAATCTGAATATTTGTTCCATAAAACTGAAATTACTTTACTCCTAACAGATGCACTGCTTCCAGTCCATAGAAATGATTTAGGTCAACATTGGATCATTCCGAAATCATCAGAACCTCTGGAGTGAGTCGGTTGCACTGACAGTCCAGGGGCCGACTAATACTGCATGCCTCACTTTTCAGTTTTTATTTTCGAAAAAAAAAAATGAAAATATCGTATGAATGTCATTCGATTTCATGTTTATGTGAACGTTAGATTTTTTTTTTATATTTTTGTCTAATGCCTATAGCAGCGGTGCCCAATCAGTCGATTGCAGTTGACCTGTAGTCTGCTGCGAGGGATGTAGGGGGGAAAAAAAAAAAACTGTCTGTGTGTGTTCTTAATATTTATGTTTTTGTGTTCATGTAGACTGCACCAGAAGCACCTGTATAATTTTGATCTTCACACAAAAAAAAAAAAAAAATAGAATACGGCATTGTCAAAAAAGGGAATCTGGAGCACCAGGAGAAGCATTTTAAAATGGTACACGCGAGTGACGCTAGTGATATTTCTGCACTTAACATGCTGGAAAAATGCATCGCTGCCTCCGTGTCAGGTCCCCCACGAAGGTAGGCAGTGATTTCCTTTTCACAAACTCAGTCTTGTTTTGTATCTAGTTTATTTTTCGGTTATGATCATGTTAGGGTCTGATTTGGCTGTTGCTCATAATGGTATGCACGTGCGTTAACGGTTCAGTAATGGGATGGTTGCTTGAAAAATCGATCTTCAGTCAGAAAAGCTTGGGGACCCCTGACCTAAGGCTTCTGAATCAGTAGTAATGCAATTAGCAATGCAACTGATTCTTGAGCCAATCAGTTTTCAAATTCGCCTCATCGGGTCAGCTAACTGGCCCACAATTACATCAGTATTTTTGGGTCCACTGATTGGTTGGTCAGAATAAATCCAGTTCGAGTAGTAAAACATACGCTGTGAGTTACACTTACGGTATTAATACATTAGACAATCATAATTTTAAATGAGTGTGATTCATCCTCACGTCCTTTTATGATGTTTGGTCACGTTAATAGATAAATATTCCTGATGGAGTCCTTCAGGTTAGGTGGATTAAGTTGGGTAATTCATCACCCAGGTGATAAATATACCATCTGCCGCTGATGCAGACAGATCAATCTTTTGTAAGATGACTGCAGTGTCTCACTAATCAGACATCTATGCTCAGTAAGGTTAGACAGTGACTCTCTCAGGGAATGATGAATGGATATTGATAACAGGTAAATAAACCTCCATGTTTTCCGGACAAGGACAAGAAGAGGAGTGCAGGCACATTCTCGTTTGACTAACAAATAGGCCACAAGGCCAGCAGGTGAAAGTACACTGTTCAATTTAGTGCATGTGTATGTTTATGTAAATCTGTTTTGTTTTGTTTTTTGATCTGCTTATCCTCTTAAGAATCGTGGGCGTGCTGGAGTCTATCCCAGCTGGCTTCGGGCAGTAGACGGGGGACACCCTGAACTGATTGCCAGCCAATCGCTGGCGCACACATAACGTGTTACTTGGACCTCATGATGCTGTTTGCTCGCAAATATTGTTTCAACAGAACCTCTGACACCATCACACGGCAGGTGCGTTCATACTGAGACTAGATTACACCCAAGTGGACTCTTATCATGATCATCAATGATTTAGGTCAACATTGGATCATTCCGAAATCATCAGAACCTCTGGAGTGAGTCGGTTGCACTGACAGTACAGGGGCCGACTAATACTGCATGCCTCACTTTTCAGTTTTTATTTGAGAAAAAAAAAAAAATGAAAATATCGTATGAATGTCATTCGATTTCATGTTTGTGTCTCGTTTGGTTTTGATTCTTGACTAAAAAAATCCATATTTATGTCTGTACGTTTGAAGCCTGAGATATGGAAAAAGGTCAAGTAGTTGAATGGGGTTCAAATAGTTTTGCAAGCCACTGTAATGTGTCACTGTGCGTGTGTACTTACATTCACTGTACTGTTGGAGCTGTTTAAACTCAGCCGGGCTCAGACACACCCAGCTCCCGTCACCCATAATGCCTCACTATGATAAGGATGGGGGACGTCTGGCAAGGTGCAGTTCCACCAGAAACAGGCAGGTAGTTAATCTCAGGTCAGATGGAGGTTGAAGACTGAGGCTAAGAGGTTTGTCATCACGTCCAGGAGGAGAATTATTATCCCTGAATCTTCTGAAAAACTTTTATAATCCAAAATATGAAGTATAAAATGTCCACCAGGAGATGGGATCAGGGGGAGGAGGAGGAGGAAGCGTCAGGATGATGTGAGGCCGGATGTAACCTGTTTTATTGTCATTTTCCCACGTGATGTCGTCCTCGTGACTCAGCAGAAAAGGCCTCCATGTTCACACCTGCATACAAACATGCTAAATTATACACTTTTATTAACACAGCAACCATTTTTACTAATATACTGAATTAAAAACAGCTCTCTGAGGCAGTGCAATTGTGCATCAACCGCCACAGTAAAACTATTGTTGAACAGTGCTTATAAATATAGATAGATAGATGTCACGTTACGAGGTGGTGGTGGACTCCAATTAAGCAGGCAGGAGGGAGGAGCAGGGTGAACTTGAAGTGTATTGATAAAACACAGAAAACTAAATCCAAAACAAAGTCCTAAGAACTAAACGAATCCAAAGTAGCAAACAAAAACCATGACTTAAGCAAAACACCATCAATAACAGAAACATGACCAAAAAAAAACATGACCTATAGACCTAAGTATTGACAAACAAACAAACATGACAGCAACAATGACCTGACCATAAGTGGGCGGGCTGTGAGTCCTTTTAAAGCACTAATTACAAAATGACCAACAGGTGTGCAGCTGCAGGGAGAACCCTACAGTGCCACCTGTTGGTCCCAAACAGAATCATGACAATAGATAGATAGATAGATAGATAGATAGATAGATAGATAGATAGATAGATAGATAGATAAATAGATAGATAGATCAAAAACAAATTGCATACAGCAATCCCACAACCCCACAATCAATGATGCATTGTTTAAATCTGTCGACAGCGGCATGCTAGCAGGAGTTAGCAAGTTAGCACTTATGTTACGATCCTAAAATGTGAAAATTGTGTCGTTTTTGGATCAAAAACAACCTATATTCCACCCAATGAAGCCATTACGAAGGGTCACGCTTAAAGTACCTGAGTATGTGTTTGAGTAAATGTGCTTCATCTTGGAAGGCCTAATATCATTTCGATCAACACCGCACCCTCTTTCCGCCTGCGAGATGAATACTGATATGACCTCATTATTGTGTTATCGTGGCTTGGACTGCGGGGCTGAGCAGGCGCGCGCGAGCGCGTATCAAATGTACGACTTACGGAGACACATAAGCATTCCAGACATAGGACTGCCGCCTGTTTATTTTGAAACAGGTTGAATGTGTTCTGCGCTGTCAGTCATATATGTAGGTTGATAAACTGCCGGTGAAATCATCTAGTTGTATGGAACGTGATATTCACTTCCATGAAAATGAGAGAAGGTGGTGTACGATTGACAAAGGACAAAGGGGTGTGACTCGTGTTGGTGAGCGAAAAAGAAGATTGAGCGAAAAGTCATTGTACTTTGCTGACAGTTTTCTTTTTTTCTTTAATACAACAGGCACCGTTGGAGATCAAAACTGCAGTCGAATCCACCACCTTTCCTGATCCAAATCCAAAATGCAGTCAAGTACTTGACTTTCTGAAGTTTTGAATCCAGAAGGGCATCAAAAGTGTCCATGTTGCTGTCAAGGTAAGGAAACCCATCTCTGATTTTGACGCGTGTACAATACCGGTTGAGTGGATGCATGGATTTTAGTCCAGAACCGTCCTTGACACTCTCAAAAGTCAAGACAGGTTCTCCAGCGCAACAACGAGGACACAGATGACAAATATCACAATATCATCGCGAGAAAAAAAATCTTCCTGCGCCGTCATCACGCTCTATTTGTCATGTCCCGTTTGCGACAGCAGGTGGCAGACGGTGTTTTCGGCCGGATGCACACCTGCTACCCATTAGAAATCAGGCACTGGCTTTATTAGGGCCGGCTTTCGTGTTTTCACTTGCCGGAGAATTGTTTACCGTGCCACTGCTGTGCCCATTGTGTCGTAGTACCTTCTCGCATTTCGCCTTTGTGCGCTAGTTCGTATTTGGAGTGTGTATTCTCGGTGTGTATTATTATTGCAACTAGATTGTTTTTCTCCTTGCCTTCGTGCGAGCGTTTTTTGTTATTCGGTTTTTTCGTGCCTTTCCTGGTACTCGTTTTTGCCAGCGTTTTCTGTTGTCTCGTTTTTGCGGTGCGGTTTTTGTTAAATAAATCTTATTTTCATACGTAGTTCTTGTTGTTGTCTGCTGTTTCGGGAATCCTTTAGATCACCTAGGTTGCGAGCGAAGCGGGTTCCCTTCCGCTTTGCCCGCAACGTGACAACATCATTATTATTATATGAGTTGTAATAAAATTGCACGTGGCAAATATAGATAATATATACTGTATGTTACATACATATAATGTATTATTTCGCGTTATCATAATCTGTAGTAGTATAAATATAAATATAATGAATATCTATCATTCAACTTGGCAGTGGTTCTCCAAATATTTACAGCAAGTACCACCTAAAAAAGTCATTTTACAGGTAGCACCATTGAATGAATATCATAATATAATAACATCGTGGGCCTATGTGTTCTCAAAACAAGGCGGAGGTCTTACACGTGAATTTATTATTGCAAGCCACTGTAACTTTAAGCCCAGTGCTTGAAAGTAGAAAAATAAAATGTCCCAAAGTAATGATTACAATTGAATCTACTGAAAATACTGAATGAAAATCATACTCCAATAAATGTTTTTTTTTAATCCTCAACATTAAATACCCTGTAAAGTAATTTGTGCGCATTTATTAAATACACTCAATATGTTTGAGGATAAGTGTTGAAAACATCGTCGAAGATGGAGATAAATTTAGTACTGAACTATTGATATATATCGTATACGGTAGCACAAAACTCATCCTCTCAGCTGTCTTTGATTTTTTTGGGCGGGGCTAGATGGGGATGAGCCGATGCAACCAAGGAACAGTATGAGTCACCCCTCCCCGCTACTAAAGTGTCCTCATTTCATTTGTGGCAATTCCGCTTCCTTATTGATAATAACTCGGCCTACTCTACTACTACAACATGCAGTTAGCCATCAAAGCTATGCCCACAACCCGAAAAAAATACATCTTCCCTAACTGTGATGTATTTTGTGCTATTTGGGCTACAATGTCTCAGCTGCGTGCAGGCATGCGTGGCACATATAGTGAGATAGCGACGAAACAGGCGGCACAGAGTGATGTGGTGAATTACACTAAAATGTGGCTATGAGATTTTTATACCTTTTAGCCACATTGGCTAAAAGATTTAATGACTCAGCACCAACTGCGATAAAAGTGTGTGTGTGTGTGTGTATACATATACATACATACATACATATATACTGTATGTGCTGTGGTGAGGTTTGCGCATTGAGGGGGAAAGAAATTTTACATTAATATATATTTGTTGTGTTTATTGATGTTTTTACAACTATACAGTATCTTAGTCATATTGAATAATAATACTTTATATTTTGTTATCATGGAAATGTATAATATTTATTTCATATGACTTGACATGCAGGTAATTCAGTTAGTGACGTAGGAGTGTGAATGCTATCTCTTTCTTCCCCTTTACTGACTGGTGACCTCTCAGTTTTGCCTGAAGTTAGCGAAGATGCTGCTCCCCGTGTCTCTGAACTGGATAAACAGTCTAACAAACCAGACATTTAGTTTTGCTGTAGTTTATAGATCACTGCATTTTTTTTAATAAAAATTGGGATTGATTTGATGTGAAGCAATTAATTTGATGTGAGGCGTTCAGCAGGTTTTGCCTCACTCTCCAAACTGGACTTCTTTTTTTCTTTTTTTTTTCTTTTTTTTTTAAATAGAAACTTTCAACCATTTGGGTTGATTTTCCCCCAAACACATCACACAGATTTCATCATGTCAACGTGTCGACAGAAAAAAACCCAAAACCACAATCATTTCGGTATGGAGTTGAAAAGAAAGCAATATGCTACGTGATCCTCAAAATGAGGCATGTGCGCTCATGGAAATGCATGTGTTGTTGTGTAAAGGGACAAAAGAAGGATCACTGTGTGTTATTTTGTGGTGAGTGTGTGCGTGCATGCATGTGTGTGTGTGTGTGTGTGTGTGTGTGTGTGTGTGTGTGTGTGTGTGTAAAGGGGGCCTCCCCCCTCTGGTGCAGAGAGGGATTCTGTTTTGCTGAGCGGGTTGCCGGGCAACCATGACGTCACTGCGGCTCAAAGAGAAACACTATGACGGAAACAGACGAATGCATGAAGGACACTTGACTTACATTCAGAGATTGCTATCTGCTTCTGTTTTAATACGCGGTATTCCTGCTATTAGCAGTCTCAACATTAGGCACATCTGCAGATTTGATGACATCCAACACAAGATCCCTTCATAATATCAAAGCCCACTTTTGACTGGCACTGTCAGAGAGGTATGAATTTAACAATACATCGTATGTAGTTGTAGCTTGCTGCGCCGCTGTCTATTCTGCATTGTCGGTAAAATTAACATTAAGGTCAACCCAACCCTAACAGAGTGGCTTCCAAGTCTGAATTTAGAGTTGCACATCTTCAGTGTAGTATACTGTGCTCCTCTGGATGTAGATGCAGAGTAAGAGAAGAAGCATAGAAGGCACCAGCTGAGAAAATATATTGAATACCTGGATACACTGCTGTGTGTATGCAGGTCTTGCCGTTCATAAGGTTTTTCTCTTAGCAGTAGTTTGAAAGTTTATAGTAGCCATGCATGTTTTTGGAATGAAAGACAGGCACAGGGAGAACATGCAAACTCCGCAAAAGTAGGCCAGAGCCCGGAATGAAATCCACAACCTCAGAACTGCAAGGTGGATGTGCTAAGTTCTCCACCGTGCCGCCGCTGACTAATCAGAGGACAAAAAAATGCTGACGTTGTTGGGAAACAGCTCGCTGGTGGCGTGAGCATGAATTTGAAAACTGATTGAGTTCAAGAAATAGGCTCACTGTTAATATAAAGTCTAACATACACATACATTTTCTGTAGGGGTTGACAATCTTAAATAGACTGTATGGCATTTAAACCGTCTCCGACAGACGTTCCGTCATCATTTTATTGCATGTGGAACATATAGTCAACTGTAATAATAATTTAAAAAAAAACAACTATTTCATTTAGCAATGTGAAGTATACTGTATTTTGCTAAATAAAAGAAAATGTAAATTTTGGAATGATTTTTGCTGATTCTCCGCATACAGCAT